TTTAGTTTTCTGCTTAGTGTAAGTTCATTTTCCGAAACGTTTCGGGAAGCCAAAAGAGTTTCTGGTCACAACACTGTTTGCCGTACGACACAATTTTCGCCAAATATGGTGAAAACGTTGATTGCGCCAAAAGCCAAAAAAACCAAGCGCGGCTAAACGCAAAAGGAGACAATCGACGAGAAACCTGTACGAAGGTCGCTCGCCTTACTGATTTTGGAAGGTGGTCGTGACATGGCAAATGTTTCGTTTCCTACTTGTGTTAAAAAAAAAATCTATATTAATATTATTGCCCACTTTGTCATGTGATCCTTCATAACTCGCACAAACAGATTCCATTATCCGCCCGATGCGTTTTGTTGCTTCACATATAAGAAATTACGTTTGTAATTGATAGATTCTCTCACGGGTGGGACTTATCTTTTTTTTGAATGAACAGTTCTCCAAACTAATCTGTCGGTGTCCAAGATTTGTGAAATTCATCAATAAAAAGGATTATGATCATCAAATAATTTTTTAACATCACGTAGACATGACATTTTAAAAACTTCTGGTTTTCGCATTATCACTTCTCTAATAATAAAAATATTTCGTTTTGTTAAAGTAAACCGTAATAACCTTAATAATCATGATCATAAATAATATGTAACTAATTAATTACCTATGAAAAGCGGTTAATAATCGATCTGGTGACATTATGACAGGACCATCTGGTAGTTGATATTTACCTTGTTCAACTTTTTGTAAATATCCTCTAGTATAACTTGCCTAAAATGATATGTACAAAGATATAAACATATACGCATATAAATTTATAAAATATTTATTTATATATTACCTGTCCTATTGCACGACTAGTTAAATATAAAATTTGATAACCATTTCTTCTTATATCACTGTATAATTTAGCAACACCAGAATGTGTCCAATCTTTGCCAATCATTGCAAATACATGACCAAGAGCATCGGATCTAAATATGTAAATATATGTTAATAATCATTTCTTCGATAAATCAATAATTCTAAATATTATTACTTTGTGATAGTTCCGTCAATATCTGAGATCACTATTTTAGTATCATAATCCCACAAAAAAATTCTAGCAGCACAAGTTGCTTTTCCTTTATAAGAAGCAACAGAAAATATAATAGTGTTCATCCCTTTTTTCAAATTAAGACTTTTCTAATAATAATAAAAATTTTATTTATTTTTTAAGGAATACGAATTTATAAAAACATATATATATCAAGCAAGACTTACTAATTGATCTGAAGTTAGACGTAAAGTTTTTGCATAAAACTTCTTTGATTTATTTTGATCCTAAACATTTAAGGTCCAAGTATATGTATATATGTATTATAATGTAGTTAATTTGAGAGTAAAAAGAATTCCCTAATTTTTTTATAAGATCAAAATTCAAAATTTAAATTGAAAATAAAAAAAAACCTTTTCAGTTTCTTGTATGGCTTTTTCTTTATCCCTAATATTATTTATTGGACGTTCTATACTTGAAGAACGACTCCACCATCTACTCCATTCCCTTAAACTATATCTCCGGCGATCAGGTTCTAATCTATTGTTAGCCAATGATGCCATTGTCGATTCTGGAAGTGGCTTCTTGAAAATCAAAAGTGAAGCAATTATTGGTGCAGCCGTAGACCAAGAATAATAACTAAAAATTTATGATAATTATAATATTTTTTTTTAAAAATTAAAATTAAGGAATACTCCATTCATTTATTTATCAATAATATAGTCGTATATTTACTTGTTGTTAAATTTGACAACTAGTGTTTTATCACTTAATATTTGAGGATTTTGAGAAAATTGTTCATAAGTACTGTTAGTGAGTGTTGTTGATATAAACTAATTGAATTGTCGAAAAACCAAAACGCGTTAAAAAAGATTTAATTAATATATTTGAATTATGGATAAATAATATATGTTTTCAATAAAACCTCTAGTTTTATTCTTTTCGTGACATCTTTAAATCCTAAGATAAGAGTTTATGAAATGAGGTCGAAAAAGAACCAATTTTGAGTTACAAGACTACTTATTACCTTCAAAGAATGGACGTTGAAAGGCATAAGAACTGATACAGACTATCCTCATGTGTACTTTACTTAATAGGTCTCCCGTCGTTGCAGTGATTTCTCCAATTCATTTTTTATAATTAACTTTTATTTGTCTCTTTAAAAGGAGAAAACATTATATATTAATATGGTACGCTCTAATAAGCTTTGACAGTTTTTCTTTAAAAAAAATCGCAGCAGTGAAGGGCTTAGGGTGTGTATCATTTATAATGTACGTTTACCATGATAAACTTTGGGTGGCTGTGTTACGAAATCCTCTAACGATTTTATAACACGTAAAAATTGTTCTTTTCAGTCGAATCTCCTTCTTCAGCCATAAAAATATAAAAATATAAATTAAAAATATAAATAATTTTTTGGGGTTTTTTTCTTCAAAATAATTTAAAATGAAAAAATTTAAATTTTGCACATTTTTAATTTTTTCGATTTTTATATTTATCTCGCTAATAAAAGCTTGGGGAAAAGGTATAATAAATTAGATATATATATCTATATAATACGGAATAAAATAAATTCAATAAGTTCAAAATTTTTTATATCCTATAATAAAACAGAGGATCACGAAATATTTGATTTGGTAGACGATTTAGAAAATGCAGAAGGGGAAGATGTAACTTTTTATTCATGGCTTGGAGTAAAACCTACAGCTAGCGAGAAGGAAATTAATAAAGCGTATCGTAAATTATCTTTAACTTTACAGTAAGTTTATTTGTATATTATGATAATAAATACATGTAAAATCTTAATGATTTTATTATTGGTAATTTTTATTTAGCCCGGATAAAAATCCTGATAGAGATAGCAAAGAAAAATTTTCTAGATTAGGTTTAATAGGTGCAATTTTGCGTAATTCAGAGTCAAGAGAACGATACAATTTTTTTCTAAAGAATGGAGTACCAAAATGGCGTGGTACTGGCTATTATTATAACCGTCATAGACCGGGACTTGGTACCGTAGTAATATTTTTATTAATGCTATCATCATTGTTTCATTATGTTATCACGTGGATAAACTATTATCGGGACAAGCAACGTGTACGATATTATATACAAGAATCGAGAGAAATCGCCTGGGGTAAAAGAATGAAAAAACAAAACACCAGGAAAAAAATTTTTGTTAATGAAAAGAATTTCATTGTTGATTATGATAATGTTTTCTTGCTGACTAAAGATGGCAAACAATTTATTATGGATGAGAATGAAATTGAGAAACCAAGAATTTTGAATATTTTTGTATTTTCAATCCCTATTTTAATTTATAAAAAACTAATTTATAGTAATAAAGATGATACTAACATTAACAATAATAACAATAATATCAATGATAGAAATATTAATGATAAATCTCGTAGACGTAGGAAAGAACCAAACAACTAATAACTTTAATTTTAAGATTTTGGTGTATTTTATTTTATCTTGTAGGAAAAATATAATTTAGATAAATAATTACATTAACTTTGGAGTTTTTTTCTCTTCCAATAATAGTGTAAATAACAACAAAATCGATTCAAAACAAGAAATAAAAAATAGTAAATAATAAATTCAAACTAAACTTCTTGTTTCTTATTTCTGGTTCTTGTTGTTTTTCTTTTTATTCCTTTTCATTCACCAGAATATTTTATTAGAATTATTAGAATTATCATTATTATAGTCATTTTTGATTATTATTGTCTGATTGAATTTTTTTTACTGGTCTTTCATCAACATCTTTGTCATCATCTTCATCATTGTCAATAATTGTGCTGTTACCTTCATCATTACTATTAATACTATTATTGTTGTCCGATTTAATTTTTTTTTACTGGTATTTCATCAACATCTTTGTCATCATCGTCATCATTATTTCACAGTTACCTTCATCATTACTACTAGTATTAGTGCTATTATTGTTATGGTGTCGACATCAAAAATTTTGGTTAAACTTTAAAATGTATAAGCTCAATGACCATGCAAGATAAAAAAAAAAACTCTATAGTTTTATTCTATAAGACATAAGGAAAGATGCGATAAAGAGTTTTTTTAAATTTATTGAAATGAAAAGAGTTATTTATAATGGTTAAGTTTGTCATTAATTCACAAAAAAAAAAGATTTAACATTTGCCGTGTCATGATCTCCTTCCAAAACTCGCAAGTCGTGCGACTTCTGTGCAGTTTTCTCGCCGATTGTCTCCTTTTGCGTCTAGCCGCGCCTGGTCTTTTCGGTTTTTGGCGCGATCAACGTTTTCACCATATTTAGCAAAAATTGTGTCATACGGCAAATGGTTTGTTTTATAAACAGGTTGTAATTGCAATTGCAATTGCGTTGAATTGAATTGCAAAGCAATGCAATTGAAACCGAAAAATCTTTTGTTTTTTAAACCTAATTTTTTGGAAGGAATTTTTTTGCTTTCGCTGGGTAGTAATTTCAGAAAAAAATTTTTTTTTTTATTTTTCTGAAAAAAAATTTGATCTACATAATTTTTGCGCGCGAGAACAAAAATTCATTTATTTTAAGTCGGGTTTGGGATTGCATCTTTCTTCATAGAAAACGACATCACTCGGGCCAAAACAGTAGTTTATTTTATTAAATCCAAGACATATAAATAGGACAGCTGTCTACACTTTTTTTTTTTTGAAAATTTGAATATTTTCATGCAACAAATCGAACCCTAATCTTTATTATCATCCTCAAAAAATGATGATTCATTGTTGTTAACAATTACAAGCTCACAACTGAGAACGCCATGTGAGCTTTTGCTTTTCATTCTACGTGAGAACAAAAATTCATTAATTTTAAGTCGAGTTTGGGATCGTATCTTCTTTGCCGCAAAGAGCAAAAAAATGATATCACTCGGGCCAAGACACTAGTCTATTTATTAAATCCAAGACATATAAATAGGACAGCCGTCCCCATTTTTTTTTTTTGAAAAACTTGAATATTTTCATGCAACAAAATCGGATCTTAATTTTTATTATCATCCTCAAAAAATGATGATTCATTGTTGTTTGCTACTTGTTGCTATAATAATAATGCTTTCTCATAATTGATGGATCTTCGTATATTACAAATCAATTAACGAATTTTATCTTTTTTTTTTGTTTCCTTCTAAATAAAATAAACAATTGACAAAAGAGAGGTCATGTCATGAAGGGTCATTACACCCAGCATGAGCCACCAGCAAGGGTTCCATTCTCTCACTTTCTGGACTTTGATAACACATTTAAGTGAGTCACATGGGTTTGCCATTGCATGTCCTTACCCCAAGACGAGTACTAGTAATGGAAAAATGAGCCTTGTATTTCAAGTTGTGCATGGGGTATATACAGTTTACAACATTTCATTGGACAAATTCTATTCTATTTAATTACACAGGATTACACAATAAAAATTACGGAACGTTTGTCAATTATTCAATAGTTGTATAGGTGCAGACAAAGTAAGTGTTAAATACAAGATCAAAAAGTTTGTAGATCAAGTTTTTAAAATAAACGTTTTATCAATTATTCAATAATCATTATAAGCAGGTGTGATCGAAGTAAGTGTTAAAGTCGAGGTCTATGAACTTGCAAATTGAGTTTGAAAAACGGACGTTTTATCAATTATTCAATAATTATATGGCCGGGTTTGATCAAAGTAAGTGTTAAAGTCAAGATTTACGAAGCTTGCAATCCAGCTTTGCAAAATGAACATATAGAGATGATCAAAGCATTTTGAGTAATAAACAAATAATCAATTCAATTGTTGATTGAATTAAACACACAACGCTTTATAATAATCAATTTAATTGTCAAATAATTAAAAAGTAACTGAATAATAATAAATTCAATTGTAAATGCATAATGCTTTTCTTAAAAGTAAACAAACCAATGATCCAAAAAAAAACAGGACATATGATAATAATAGTAAAAAATGTTTTTTAGCATTTTCAGTAATAACGCATAATGCTTTTCTAAATCAATGGTATGATCCAAAAAAAAAAACAGGACAAATGATAATTCGTAAATTGTAACAAACTAAACGCATAACACTTTAAACAAAATCAATGGTACAATCCAAAAAACAGGAATGTTTTTAATAATAGCAAATCAATGGTATGTATATGATCTTCATCACACTGACTAAATATTAAACGAAAAAAGAAAGATGCTTCGCCACCACCAAAAAGAAGTTATTAGTAGCATATATGATAAAATAAAATAAAAAAAAACAATAATTCAATTGTTGAAATTAAATAGCTCATTGTAAATGTAAAATAAATAAAACTTTTTATTCTTGCCAAATAGTTCTCTTCGGTTGGAAAAAAAAATATATTATTATTGCACGATAAACGTTCATCATGTGGAAAAAAGGTATTTACATTGATCATCAAAGAATGAATAAAGAATCACAGATGATTTCAGAAAAATAAAGATTTTTTTTTTTGAAATTTACCACCCAACGAAAAAAAAAATTCTTTCCCAAAAAATTAGGTTTGAAAAAGATTTAACTTTTCTGGTTCATTGATCATGCCTCTCCTCACCTTGCAAAGCATTGGATGCAACGCTTGAAACATTTGCCGTACGACACAATTTCGCCAAATATGGTGAAAATGTTGATCGTGCCAAAAGCTGAAAAAACCAAGCGCGGCTAAACGCAAAAGGAGACAATCAGCGAGAAACCTGCACGAAGGTCGCTCGCCCTACTGATTTTGGAAGGTGGTCATGACACGGCAATGTTTCATTTCTTACTTGTGTTAATAAAAAAACAATAAAACCGGCCTGACCCAAAAAATAAATCAGAGTTTCACGGGAATGAACTGATTTCTTAAGAATTAATAGGACATGGACAAGGATATGACAATGATATGACAATGACATAGACAATGATAATTCCATTATCATTAGGATAAAAATAATTTTTTGGGAACAAATTTTTTACTTTCATTGGGTGTTTGATTTAAAAAAAGGATCAAAAATTCTGATTGAAATTGGTTCCTTTGATTCCTTATAGATCAAATCAAATTGAATGATATTATTGAAACTAGCCAACACTTATCAAATGTATGTAAAAAAATATACTTTAATCAAACAGAAAAGAACGGGATTTGCATTTGGATATTTACATGCTAATTCATCTAACATATACAAATAACCAATGAATCCTTTTACATGATCCCATGTTGAACGGAGTTTATCAATCAAACCATGCCCGCCACTCATTTCTAAATGTGCAAGTTTTAGATTACTAGCTTTAAATACCCCATCACAGAGTTGTGAAATATCCAATTGTTTATATCGTGATCTGCACGAGTCTATACAATCCAATGCTACTTCCCCACTGTAAAGGCAAAAAACCAGTCAAGGTAGAGAAAAATCAATCATACAGAGAAAACATAATATATATATTTATACAGGATTGACAACTTACGGTACATATTTTAAACGAGATTCTAAGCCTTCTAATAGCCACATTAATGTCGGGTGGATGATAAAACCACCATAACTTGCTTCAGAAGCATTTCCACTTGACATTACTGAATTCGGGGAAAATACAAGTTCATTACTGCAATGAACAAGTAGAAAAATTCTCATTAGTTGTTCACCACTCTAGTTGTATCTGAAAAAAATTTTTTTTTGTATGTTTAATATACAAATGCTCACAATTGATTGATCACTCGAGAAAAAAAATAAGTTGATCAGATTTCATCGTTTTTAATATCATTGTGGTAGAATAAATTGTTGCCCGTATTTCAGCTTTGGTTTGCTGCTTATAGATCACAAATGTAAATAAAATAACAAACTAATTAAAGCACTTAAAAAAACTTACTTCATTTAAAATTATTTTTATCAAAAATTCCTGTGCTTCTTCATCAAGACGTGATACAAATGGTGTGCAAATTGATTGTATCATTATGTAGTCATCTTCCAAAATCCATTTTGGGCATACAATTCCTCCTCCGCATCTTATTATACTAAATTTTTCTGGCCTAAAATTAAAAGTTTTTTAAGTATTTACAAAAGAAAATACAAAAATACCTCTAATGTTTAAATTAGACTAACATTAGTGAATGCTCTGCTTCGGAACTGGCTTTATAGAGAACTTCTTTTCCAGAAATTTCAGAAGGCCAT